TTGAAGACACATGACTGTGTAATAGCACTTTAATGTCACTCTGCCAAGCCTGGACAGGCCACATTTGTTAGACCAATTCTGAATTTCTATTTGTCTCAATTTCCTTAGGATGGTGGGGGGATAGGGGGTGGGGATGTTGGCACTAGATTTCTGGGTACAGCATCAGCTTTTGGGGTGTTCTTGGCCCTATTAAACCAGGACTTACTAAAGAGGCCCTCTCCTCAGTCAGAATCTGAATAGAACCTTTATGCTACCAGGAGGGCTGGCTTCAAGCTATATATTAGAAGGAGAAGTCTTCATTTATAGAAGGTCACAGAAAATGTGCTGGGTCCTTACACTCAAGAAGCAGCACTGAGAAACATCCTGAGAAAGAGAGAGAGAGCTGAAGGGGGCCTATGCTGATTATTTCTCCAACTGTGAGCCTGGAAGAATCTCCCTTTGTTCAATGAAGTAAAAAGGGAGTGTATGGGGAAAAAAAAAAACACTTTTTTTCCCTATTATTTCACTCGCAACACTCAATATTTCTAGTCATCAAAGTGAGCTTTCCTCCTCACCAAGAAATTCCCCAATTCTCCTCAGATGCTGACTGGGTGTCATACAGTAAAATTCATTTCTTTTACTCCCTACCGATGCAGGAACATGGGGGTACAGGGGTGATTGGGCCCAGCACCTTACAGCAGGACACTGGTTTTTGTCTCATGCTCACAAAAAATTAGAGACGCAGACACACAGAGCAGGTATAGCAAGATGAGAAGTATATTCAAGGCAAGGGAAGGAAACACAGAGCTCCCAAAAAGGGAGGGATCCTGGAAAATGGGTTGCCAAGGAGGGACTGGGGCGAGGGGTTTTTATCCAGGTCAGAAGGCTAGTTCAGGCTTGTTTTCAGGTGGGGCTGAAGCATGCTTTCCCCTGGTGGTGGAGAGGGGCACATGTTGGATGAATCCAGTTATTCTCCTAATTTTGGAGTGGATGCAAAGGTCAGGAGATTCTTTGTCTAGAGGCTTTGGGCCATAAAAATCATCATATCTTCTTCCCTGAGTGTGGTATGGCCTGGAAAAAGCATTTGTTTTAGTTCTAGGTCATGGTGCTTAGGTCAATCACTGAGCCCCCTGTTGCAAGCGGTCTCTCCTGACCAAGCAGCCAAGCTGTTTGTTTCCATCTTAAAACTTAGCCATCCTGTGATTCCGTTTTAGGCCTTGACCCTAACTATAATTTTAGGGTCCCTGTCTCCCACCTCACTACCTAGAGTTAGCAATTAGTTCCACAGACTGCCTTCAGTTCAGAAGACAGTCAAAGTCCAGGCTGCTACCTGTGTGTCTGACCATAAATTGGAGGTTCCCACCACCCCTTCCTTGGATTCAATCATTTGCTAGAACAGTTTATAGAACTCAGGAAAGTTTTTATTTACCTACTTATTATAAAGGGTACAACTCAGGAACTGCCAGATGGAAGAGGTGCAAGGGGCAAGGTGAGGGGGCAGGGTGAGGGGCTTCCATGCCCTCTCTGGGCACACCACTCTTCCTGTACCTTCATGAGCACCAGGCCAGAAGCTCTCTGAACCCCATGCATTAGGGATTTTTATAGAGGATTCATCACATAGGCGTGATTAGTTATTAACTCAAATTCCAGCTCCTCTTCCCTCCCTGAAGTGTGGGGGAGGAAGTAGGGACTGAAATTTCAAAACTTCTTATCATTGTTTGGGCTTTCTGGTGACCAGCTCCATCCAGGAGTCCACCAAGAATCACCTCATTCTAACAAATGATCAAACCATAAGGAAGAAATTCCAAGGGATTAGGAGCTCTGTCAGGAACTGGGGTCAAAGGCCAAATACTAGGGTAGAACAAAAGATGCTCCTTGTATTTCTATCACTTAGGAAAATATAAGGATTTTATGAGTGTTTTATTTATTTATTTATTTATTTATTTTTTGGAGAGGTTTTTGCTATAGGGCGCGTGCGCTCGCCAGACAGAGAGAGACATAGAGACAGAAAGCGAGAAATCACCCCCCAGGGGGGATGGTCACGCCGCAATCCCTTCTCCTCCATTCTCCTCTCGGGATCTTGGGCACGCATGCACACGCGCCCGGCGTGAGTTTTAAGCCACCAGGTCCGGGACACGAACCGCGGTCGACTACGTGGGAGTCCAGCGACATAGCCATTACGCTAACTGCTGGTTCCCTTATGAGTGTTTTATGAATACAAGGGTTTTTCCCACAGGAAATAAGGACAAAGACCAAACATATTGGGTCATCGGAAAAGTAATGACGCATTTTTGCATAGCAAAATACTCAGGACTTTTCTGAGGACCCAATATACTTATTGTTGTGGGATGGCTTTTGCAATAATATCCAGTTACTTGGTGTTTTGGACAAAGAACTGAATGAAATTCACCAATAATGAAAGAAAAAGGTAGTTTATTAAGTAAAAGCAAATGTACACTCCTAAGAGGTAGGAGCAGGCCTGAGCTGACAGAGTGGCTCAAAGGCCCCACAGTTAGTTACATTCAGTGAGGTTTATAATTTTTAAATCTTAGTCATGTTAGTTGACCGTTGGCTGGGCCCACTGATCTCATTTCATTGGCTCTATCAATGTAGCTGGGCCCACTGGTTTATCTCACTGGCCATATCAAATTGATTAATCAGTTAGACATCCCCCACTGGAAATCTCCTGCCTACATTACCTTGGGTAGGAAATTGTCTACTCTGATCAGTTTTTCTGTCTAGCCACATAGGCAGATGCTCTAGGTCCCTTTACCTGCTTCCATTTCTTAGCTTTCTCCTGCTTCATTATAGAAGATCACATTATTCCAGCAGGGGGTGATGATGGAAGGAGTGTATACTATTTTGACAACAAAAAGTCCAGGATTCCAGATGTCCTCACCTAAATAGCTGGAAGTAAATCCTCTTACGATCTAGACCTTTCTGCCAAGTCACATGTCCTCCTATCCTCTGGATCCTGAGTAACCGCCCCCACCCCCAGTGCTTCCTCTCTGGCCAAAGGGTCAGCACACATATAAAAAGTGCGCCCCATCTGAGACTTAGAGCCACGTGAAGTTAGCATTCAGAGGTGTCAAATACTAGGAAGACTGGGGCAGTCTTCTTCCTCTAGCTTTCAATTTTTCATTAGAAATGAGCTGCTCCCTTGGGGCCAGCAGTTGGCATGACGGTTGGGGTGCTGGACTCCCACATGGCCAACTGCAGTTTGAGTCTTGGACTTGGTGGCTTGCTTTCTCACTTTTCTTCTCTCTGGTGACTATCTGTATCAAGTTAAAAAATAATAATAATAATGATAAAATTAAATAAATAATTCTCTTTAAAAAAAAAAATGAGCTGCTCCCTTCACTTGGGCAAGAAGCATTTCAGAAGTATCATTTCTGCCCGTCAGCTTCTGGTCTGTAGTTCTCAGCCAAGAGCAGATCTGTGAGCACCGCCTGGTGCTGTGATGAGTTGCACCAGAGTTCCCTGTGGGCCCTTGAAATGCATCAATTGCACATTGCTGTGCCTCCCTTGCCCTGCAGCCGTGGGGCAGCGGCTGTTTTCAGTGATGGGTGGTCTATCTCCTTCTGCTACCTAGAAGGTGACTCTTTGGAGATAACCCCAATTCTCCTCCTGTTGAGAAGCATGGGTTTTGCCACATACTGTGGACCATCCTCTTCTAAGGGTCCAAGTGAGAATGGTGCCCACTACATCATAGCCAGGAGCTGGAGTGACTGCCTGGTGACCATATTTTAGTGAAGGTCTCATAAAGTCATCATAAAAAGTGACCCTTATCCTTGAGTTTCTAAAGCCTTCAAGAACTGTTAGTTCTCCTTGAGTGCCAGTTATTCAGGATGAGGTCCACTGTCTATGTAGCATACATATTCTAGTCGGAGACATTCAGCCCCAGCTAGGACTAGTGAAGATGACATGGAGTGAGGAGAGGGTCAGCACACGCATAAAAAAGTGTGCCTCATCTGAGACTTGGAGCCACGTGATGTTAGCTTTCAGAGGTGTCAAATACCAGGAAGACTGGGGCAGTCTTCTATCTCTAGCTTTCAGTTTTTTCTTTTTACAAATGCTAGATGACTGTGTGCAAACATCTTGTACTACTTTCAAGATAATTTCCTTGTCTTGAAAAATGCAGTTATTACATTAAAAGGAACCAGCATTTTATAGTGTCTTAATAAGTACTGCCAGTCAATATCTGGGACAAGTATACCAGGAATGCATAAGAGAGCCTATCTCTCTGTACCTCTGCCAGCATCCAGTAGCTTTCTTTCAGAAGTGTTTGCTAACTTGAAAGGCAAGATGATACCTCCTTATCACTTGATTTAGTATCCTTATAATTCCCAGTAAGGGTGAAATTTTAGATCCCTTTATCTTGTTGAATAATGAGAGAAAAATTGATTTCCTTCCAGTCATTCACTGACCACTCCTCCCATTTGGAAGCTAAACCTTTTCTTTCCCACTGACTTGCCATGCCAGTGGGAAAATGGTACCCGCTACATCATTGCCAGGAGCTGGAGTGTCTGCCTGGTGGACATATTTTAGTGACAAGCTTGTGAACTCTTCATAAGGCTTTTGGTGTTTTAAGAATGTTGAACAGGGACTAGAAAGTGGAACAGTGGTAAATCTCACACAGGAAGTTTCCCAGTTAGAGACGGGAGACTTCCCTGAGTACACTAGGAACCTGTTCAAGGCTGGAAAGTTCCTTGAGTTATGCTGGGCACATGAATGTCCATGATCCAGGATTGGCTGAAGGCTGAGGGTGAATTGCAGTGTCTAGACCTTCTTGGGGTGGTGTGTTTCTCCATATCTCTAGATCATGGAAAAAATAACCTTTTTCTTTTCTTTTTAGAAAAACAAAAAATAAAAGAATGCTGAACAATGTTCAGTAATGCTATCAGCTCTTCTTCATTTATGAGGTAGTGCCAAGGAGAAGAGCACAGTGATATCCATTGCACTGTATACAATAGGTCGAGCTGAGCTACTTTATGACTCTTATTTGTATCTTCTTTTTCTAGGAGATGGCCAGGTGGATTTTGATGAATTCATGACAATTCTTGGCCCCAAACTGGTGTCTTCAGAAGGTCGTGATGGTTTTCTTGGAAACACAATAGATAGCATATTCTGGCAGGTAAGTGAGAACTTTTAAGGTTGACAATAAACATGTGTCTGGGACTAACTTTTGACTCTGAATTGTTGAGCTTCTGTTCAGCATACAAGGTTCTCTTCTGATAGGAATATCATCTGTCCCTTGAGTTGGACATGTAAGTTGACCCATAGTAGGTCTTCTGAACAAAGAATCAAAACTGTACACTGGACATCTAAGTTGACCCATACTAGGTCTTCTGAACAAAGAATCAAAACTGTACTCATTAAAGATTTGGAGGAATGAGGGACCAGCAGTTAGTGTAATGGCTATGTCGCTGGACTCCCATGTAGCCGACCACAGTTCGAGTCCTGGACCCAGTGGCTTAAATTCACGCCGGGTGCATGTGCGTGCGTGCCCAAGATCCCGAGAGGAGAATAGAGGAGAAGGGATTGCGGTGTGGCCATCCCCCCTGGGGGGTGATTTCTCACTTTCTGTCTCTCTGTTTCTCTCTGTCTTTCTGGTGAGCGCACGCGCCCTATAGCAAAAACCTCTCTGGAAAAAAAAAAAAAGATTTGGAGGAATGAAATATATCCCTATTTCTTCTTGATAGCAGAAATTTTACATTTTTGGAGAAGTGAGATTCTTTCACTTTTGATTTATATAAGTTTTTCCTGGAGACACTTTAAAAAGTCTCACTGGTATTATGTGAGCCAGTTTTGCCTCTGATCCTGGTTCCAGGAGATCTTTGCTGAGAGGATAGTGTGGTTGCCTCTTTTCTTTGGATCATATTGATACTCACGTCCTTAACAGGACAGAATGGTTTTACCTAAGAATGTGTATTCCATGCTTTTCAATTTACCGTGATTTTTATCTTATCTAATCTCTTAGGGAGTTCCAAATACCCATACTCTAATTATTAAAGCGTTTCCATGTCATTTTTATGTGAATTCTTTAATCTGAAAATGTGACTATTATTTCATGAATATGGGATGTGGGGAATGAATTATCAGTTATTATGTTTAAATTTGAGTTAACTAAGTTGTCTGTCAAGGTAAATCAAATGACTGGTTAGACTTATAAAACATCTTTCAAACACAGCATGATTTCTTTAATTTCTTGACATGTGTTTTTTCCTTCACCAAAGAGAATCTCTGTAATCTAGATTAGGATTGCATTTTACATGTATCTAGTCTTATTCTGGTAACTAACTTGCATATGACCAACAGGTATTTATTAAGAATTTATGTGCTTTGTAATCTCTTAGTCATGAATTTTACAAAAGACACTTGAGACTCAGAACTGGCTATTAAAGAATTTGACTGGAGAAACACAATTAAGAGAAAGAAAACAAAGAAGTGATTATTTAGTGTGATGGTCATTAGACTATAATCTTCTTGAAGCTGGAGACGTCCCTATTGTAGCCTCCTCAGCCCCTAACACATTGAACATAGTAGGTCCTCAGTTTTCAATAGAATGAACAGAAGACCAAGAAGAAAAAATGGTAGTATTGAAGGGTCAGGTAATGCTTTAAGGAATGGGGCACTTGCTTTGAATCTTGAAATATGGGTGAGATTAAGTACAAAGGAAGAAAAGAGGGCATTTTATCAGCTGTGGTGATGTGCACTGCTAAAACACTGAGTTCTATAGTCTGAGGCCACACAGGAGTCCTGAATTCAATGCCAAGTCCAACCTAAAGGCCAGGCGTAGTAGCATGCTCCTGTAATCCCAGAAACTTGAGAAGATGATGAAACATAGCAGGATTTAGTCTGAAAAAGAGCCAGGTGTAGTGGTTGTGTGCCTCTGGGTTCAGCTACTCGGGAGGGTTGAGGAGCATGACTCAATGAAACCTTGTCTTAGGAAAAGAAAGAATAGAAAGAAAGAAAAAGAAGAAAAGAAGTTTGGAAAGGGCTGGAGGCAGTGCACCCAGCAAAGGCATTGGCCATACCAAGGTATAGCTTAAAGGGAAGACTGCAGTGCCCACCACAGGGTGGGTTGTGGACCTGAGGAAAGAGCAGGGACAAAACTGACTCCGAAGTTCCCACCCTGCCATTCTTGACAGGAATAAGCTCCTGGGGATGCAGAGACATCTTGTGGAGCTGAATTCTAAACAGAATATGCTGAGTGCAAGGTGAGGGTCAGATGACCAAGAAGAGGAGGAATGTCTGTGTGCAACTGACATCATTCAGGGCTGGAGTACTGACAAGAGGCCGGGCTGGACACTCAGATTTTGGATTCATTAGAGCTGGTTGATGAAATCATGGGCCAGGATGTACTCTCTAAGGGAAGCTGGAGAAATGAGGATAAGCAGAGGGAAAGGACACGGTTCTGAGGACATCCAGGGCAGGGAAAGTTGGATAGGAGCCTCTGAACCCTGAACTGCTGCTAGATTCAGGAGAACACTGTATCCTAGACCATGGTTAGGATCTATGTGGTGAGAATATTTCTCTACTTCTGAAGCCTTGTGGCAGTGCCTCAACATAGAGAAGGACGGGCAGGTAGAAATAAGACATGAGCACAGAATTAAGAGGCTGGAGAAGCATCATTTCCTACCTGCCCATCTTTCATCCCATGTAGGTCTACTCTGGATGGGCAACTGAAAGTTGCTATCCTCTGTGGCCTCCCTTCTTCATTGTTTCTACTCTATGAGGTCTTTATAAAAACTTAATGGAAAGTATGTATTATGAAAAACACTATGCATGAATTTCAAAATTTTTACACCAAAATAAACTTATACTTTAATCCATACTCCATAAACATTTTGTTGTTGTTGTTGTTTTAGAGAGAGATTTTTTGCTACAGAGCATGCACACTCACTGGAGAGACAGAGAGGGTTAGAAAGTGAGAAATCACTCCCTGCAGGGAACGGCCATGCCACAATCCCTTCTCCTCCATTCTTCTCCTGTGATCTTGGGTTCACATGCCTGGTGTGTTTTAAGCTGCCAGGTCTGGGACTCAAACTGTGTTCAGCTACATGGAAGTCCAGTAACATAACTATTACACCATCTGCTGGCCCCGCCATGAACTTTTTGAAGTTCTCTTATGTTTCTATGAAGCTTTCTCCCCTTTGCCTCTGTCTTTAGGGCTCACTAACCTAGAAGAATGCTCCGTGGTTTCCCTAACTTTAAGCATTTTTCCTGGAATCCATTCTGGAGAGTAAGGAGCTGCAGGCACTTTTACCTCAAGTAGAGACCACCCATATTCCTGATTTGTCACAGTAGAGCAACCACAGAGCAAGGCAATATTTCTCTTACAATGTATTAACTGCCTCTAGCATAATGTGGACATGCCATTATGTTTACAAAATCTTTGTGCTTTCTTTCTTTTATTTTTTTTTAAATGAGGGAAAGACTGGTTCCTTGGATTTGTTTGTTTGTTTGTTTCCTTTTTATAAAGTTTATTTCTTCCATGAGTGAGAACAACAGAAAGAGACAGAGAGCAAGGACACAACCAAACAGGATCTTGACATTGTGATCCACTGCCAGCCTCAGCCAGCCCTGGATCATGTGTGTCCAGTGGATTCAGGGAGGTCTCTGGTTGTGAACCCAGAACCTTTCCATGTGGGTCACAGAATTGCAGAATGTTGTGTTTTATCACTGCACCACTGTCTGGCCTTGTCTCAGTGTTTTTGTCTTACCAAAGACCCACCTTCTCTTTCAGAGTGAAAAAAATAATGGGGTAGGGGAAAAGAGAAAAAGAAAGAAATTTTCCTTCTGAATATTTAAATGAATGCTGAAATGCACAGAGTGGTGGCTGTGGGATTTCTTTCCTGCTGGTGCTCACCCAGCTCAGAATTTTATGACTAGCAACTAAGAACAGAGACAGCTATCAATTTACAATAGTCAATCTCTCTTGCCTCCCCCTACTTCCTGCCCATTCTGAGAGAGCAAGAAAAAAAATGGTACTTGAAACATTCAGAACATTCGGTCCTTCCAGGAAAAATGTTTATATTCCCATTGCTTGAATGGTTTTTCAAGTTAAAAAAAAAAGCTATGTGTACATGTGTGTATATGCTTGTATATATGTGTGTGCATACATGTATATACACGTGTCTGCTTTGTTAGTCATAGGGGTTGAAGCTAGTATAAAAGCGAGGAGCAGAAAGGCCGAGGATATTGATATCATCCTCTGATAAATGTAAAGAAGATCATCCTATTTAAAATACTTTGGCGAGGTTTCCCAGCAGAAACAGTTTCGTCTGGAAACAGACATGAGTATATCTGGGTGGGTATCAGAATCTATGGTGGGATATTACATTACACCAAAATCTAGGGGCATAAAAAACCAAATATGTACTGTCTCATGCCGTTTCTGTGGGTCAGCAGCCAAGCCGAGTTGTTCTGGCTCCAGGTCTCATGGTTGCAGTCAAGATGCTGACCAGAGAACCAGCAGTTAGCATAATGGCTATGTCACTGGACTCCCATGTAGTCGACTGCGGTTCGCGTCCCAGACCCGGTGGCTTAAAACTCACGCCAGGCACGTGTGCATGCGTGCCCAAGATCCCGAGAGGAGAATGGAGGAGAAGGGACTGCGGCGTGACCATCCCCCCTGGGGGGTGATTTCTCACTTTCTGTCTCTATGTCTCTCTCTCTGTCTGGCGAGCGCATGCGCCCTATAGCGAAAACCTCTCCAAAAATAAAAAAGATGCTGACTGGGGCTGTGATCATCTGATGTCCTGACTGGAGTTGCAGGATGTGCTTCCAAGTGGCTCACTCACATGGCGGTCAAGGCAATGCTGGCTGTCGGCAGGAGCCTCAGGTTCCCACCACATGGGCTCTCTGAGGTGCTGCTTGAGTGTCCTCTTGACATGGCAACGGCCTCTCAGAAGCAATGATTCAAGAGAGTACAAGGCAGTAGTTATGATGTCTTTTAACTTGGAAGTCAAACTTGATCGTTTCTACAATGTGTGATCATTACACAGGTCGTTTGTATTCAGCGTGGTAGGGGACACCCTCTTGCTGAACTAGGAGTCGAGGGTCACTAGGGGGCATCTTGAAGGCTGGCTACTGCAAAGGGCAAAGATTCTGTATTTGGGTTTCACTTTC